GTCTCAAGTTCGATAGGGTATATGATCTGATCGTAAATCATAAAGGGATATATTATCCGAGATCGCAAAAAGCTTTGCTTAGCTTCAGCTTCTGTATCGGTATATAGCAGGGTGTATACGATCTTGCGCTCTCTCCCCTTTCTTTCTTTCTTTCTTCCTTTTTTTTCTCTCGCACGAAAGCGCACGTAAAAAATGGAAGATGAAAATTGAAGCTATCGAAAGGAATAAAAAAACTGCAGCCGCCATTGAATTTCACGTTGACAAAAATGTCAAGCAAAAAAAAAAAAAAAAAAAAAAAAAATAACGAGCGAAAGAGGACAAATTGAATTTTCGATGGAAACGGCCTGTCGACCGATAAAAATCCAAAGTGGATAATAATACGAATAGATTGCGTTCGTGCGTGAGAGAGATAGAAATAGAGGCAGAAGCGGTAATTGGAGATTTGGTTAATTTCCAATTGAAAAATTTATGGAACAATATAACTCGGTTATGGAAAAATGTATGGCGAGGGGGTGAAAAATAGGTCAGGAGTTAAAAATTAATGTTTCGAGGGTTACGTATATCGAGAGATTCGTAGATTCGTTTTAATTAACTCGTTACGCTCTTTCTCGCGTTGATCCTCCGATGTGGGTCATTTCTTTAACCCAAGCATCGTTTAATCTTAAATCGCTTAATTCGTAATTTATACGAATACCGGACACACGCGTCATCGCGAGAATCTGCGGCTGCATCGTACGAAACGCAGAATAGAAATTGAGAGGTCGAAGATTAAGGACTCGAGGAACTTTTTGCAAAGATATAGATGATATATCAATTAAGAGGCGAGTGTCGCGATGAGAAACGATTCTAAAACCGCGAATCGTATCACTCTGGACGCAAGTTGCACTCGAACGAGTGTCGCCACTTAACTCATTAATTTACGGCCGCCAACTGTACAAACAGCAGGCGACTACTACGTTCCGTTCCCTAAGCCGAGAACGCGAGAAGATGGCAAGCAGAAATACCTTACCTCGCGTATTTTCGTAATTTTCCAACAAGCGAAACGTTAATGAACATCGACAAAACGTATTCTCGCGGAAGAATCAAGTGTAATAACTTCTCCAAACTATGAGGCGCGGAACAGAAAGAGAATCTTCGAGATTTCGAGAAACAAAGGAAAATCCTCGAAAAATATCCCCGGTTCACTTAGCCGATCGAATTATCCGTGGGAAAGAAGGCAGCTCTGATGGGTGGAAGTCGATAACGCGATTGTCACAACCGCGGATCCAACATCTGGATCGGCTCCCGAAGATTTCGTTATCGTAATTCGCGTCATGTAAATCCAATTACCGAAAGATTCGTTTCAGGGGACCGAAACGGCACGAACAGGGAGGGAATAAAGAAGGGGAGGGGAGGCGCTATCGATATCGATAGATTCCGTATCCGCCGCCACGAAACTCTCTCACCCCTCCTTGTTGGTGGGGATGTCGGTGACGAAGGTCCATCCAAGGCGTATTTCAATCGAAACTCGGGGAGAGACGAGCGCCAAGAGTCGGACGCGGAGACTCGCGAAGCCGGGAGCGGCTTATCCGATATAATATACCGGATGAAGCGCGATAACTGATCTGGAAGTAAATCTCTTTTCTTTTTTTCTTTAACGGTTCAACGGAAATGGAGAAGGTTGGAACGAGCTCTTTTTTCCTTCCCCTGGAAATGGTGTATCTCTCGCGCAAACACAGGGATTCGCTGCTCGAAGAGCAACATTATTTCGTTCCATCCGGCGGTCCACGAGCAGCGACAACGCGTATAAACGAAACCACGTTTCATCGGTAACGATCTTTTTCTTGCGTGTATACACGTTCCGTTTCAATTTCGCCGTCTGGTATCGGATCGATTCTTCCCATTCTTTCGCGGTTTTTCCCCATTTGCGGCTCGGTTAGTCTCTCCACTCGTGCGCGCAACTCGATCTTTGCGCCGTTCAAATGTTCGGAACCTCTCCCGTTTGGGGGAGGTTGTTTCGATACGTCAGACACGTCGATAGGATTTACTTTCGAAATTGTTAATAGTTGGCAATCGAGAGACCATTCACTTTGGATCGATCCGGCGACAAATTATTTATTTACGTTCGATTCTTCTAGAATATCGAATAAATTCCTCTTCACGCGTGACAATTACGATAAGATATTAAAATATAAAAGTTTTATACGTTGGTTTAATCTCGAATTGTTGATTCAGTCGATTTTGATTCTCGCTAATATTTTCTACATGACAGATAAACCAGTCAAGTCACGAATCGAAGGTCTAAAATTATCATAAGAGAGGAATAAAATTGTATCATTAATTTCGTTTAACGGCCGCATTACCAATCGATTGCCAATCATTACAAAACGATTTGACAAATTATCAATCCTGTCGAATAATAAATATCCCACTTTTACACGCTCAATTACTCGCCGAGATTATACACGAGTAGAAATAGTCCCGTGCAACGAACGTTAATCATCCGTTTTTAACGTTCCGTTACACGCGGTACGTTTTTTAAAAAGTCATGAAAGGCCGGGATTCGATTCGGTCCCGCGGCGAAACAGCCCGACTCTGGGTGGAGCGCGCGCGGCTCATTTCGGCCATTAGCTTCGGTCGTCGGGTCTTATGCATTATATGCGAGATAGAGAGGGGTCTGGCTTCCGTTCCGTGGGCCCTCCGCGTCAAAGGGAAGCCCGGCCACGGGCGAAATTGAAATGGAGATCCGGCAGGAAAGAGCATTCGTAAACAAAATTGACACGAGGCGAGAGGGAGGGGGAAGGGTGCATCCGAGGTGGCCGGTGCGGAGGGTGGGGGGTGTGCGCAATCACGGAAATTTATGCACTTTGACGGAGGGATCGTGGAATCCTGGTGAACGGCGGAAAAAGGTGGAGGGAGGGACTCGCGTCGTTGCACGTAGCCGAGGAAAAGTATTTGCACACCGTCAGACGACGAGAGATCTTATCGCGAGTCTCCTCGTTTTCGTTTCTCCTCCAACTCGAATGAGCAAATTGACTCGTCTCGATCGTTACGTTTATTAAATTGCTGCGTCAAACATTCCCCGTACACGAGAAAATTACAAAGCGATCTCTCGAGATTCGGCCATCTTTGAAAATCGGGTGTGCGATTCTCGCCATTGTTAACACGAGATTTCGAAGGTTAGAGATTTGTCTCGAACTTGAAACGAGATTTTGGACGATTGTGGGATGAAAAGGCGATTGAAAATATTACGAAGCGATCTTTCGTTCGGAGATTCGGCCATCTTTGAAAATCGTGTGTGCGATTTTCGCCACTCGCCATTCGAAGATCAGGGACTTGGAACGAGATTTTGAACGATTGTGGGATGAAAAGGCGACTGAAAGTATTACGAAGCGAGCTCTCGTTACTCTCGAAGGTTAGAGATTTGTCTCGAATTTGAAACGAGATTTTGGACGATTGTGGGATGAAAAGGCGACTGAAAGTATTACGAAGCGATCTCTGAGATTCGGCCATCTTTGAAAATCGTGTGTGCGATTCTCGTCATTGTTAAGACGAGATTTCGAAGGTTAGAGATTTGTCTCGAGCTTAAAACGAGATTTTAGACGATTGTGGGATGAAAAGGCGACTAAAAGTAAGCGATCTTTCGTTACTCTCGTGCTCGAGATTCGGCCATCTTTGAAAATCGTGTATACGATTCTCGCC